GCTTCCCCGGCCAATGTCTCCGCGATCCTTGCAGCACCTGTTCTCTGCAGCCCCTCCACCCCCCCCCCCCCGTACAGCTCAGCACCTGTTCTTTGGGGGGGGAGGGGGCACTGTCTCTAACGCCATGTATTGACAGAAATCAAACCAAAGGCAAACAACAGCTAAGGCTTTGACTGTACAAAAAGGGGTAGGACAATTCCCCCCCGGTAGTAACCAGATTAGAACCACCGTCCTGAGGTGCAGATCAAAAAGAGGGCCGCCGTTTGTGCTAGGGACAGAGAAGAGAGAACTAAAGGCCCTTGCATGCCGGGTATTGTCCCAGGTTTGGAGCAGGCAGCCGAACACGAAGGCCTCTATGGCTGTTGGTTTTTAATCTGGCCTTTGTGCGGGAGTGCAAGTGCGGGAAGGGCATGCACACAGGTGTGCTAACGTTCACCGTCCGCTCATGTGGGGCTGTCGTTCCCAAATGCCTCAGGGTTGAATCCGCTACTACCCCCCCCGGCTGCAAAATAGCTACTCCTTAAGCTCAAGCACTAGAGGCCTGTGCATTTAAATCCGAGGTCACAGGTTCAGTCCCTGCCGACTACTCATTCTGGGCTGTCATTGCAGAAATACTCAACAGCACAATACTTTGAGGAACAGCCTCAAGTCACCAAATCCTGGTGGGAAATACATGCACCACGTGATTGCATAGAGACCGGGTTCGTCCGGGGTTCATGTAACAAACCGCTACCTCCACCAGGCTGTTCTACAAAAACCGAGCCATGACCACAGAGTTGGGAGTAGAACTGGGCAACATTTTTCATCTGACATTTTTGTCAGTTGAAACGTTTTGTGAACTTGGGTCGATTTCCGCAAATATTTCCGGTCAAGAAAAATCAAACAAAAACCAACCTCCCTAAAAACAATTCCAAAATCTTGACATGAAACATTTTGACGTTTTCAGAAAGGTTTTAGTTTTGGGGGTTGAAAGGACTTTAGGTTTTGGAATTTCCTTCCCCCCGCCATTTTGTTTAATTTCCCTCCAATTTTATTTTAAAAATGCAAAAATGTTAAAAAAAATAAATAAATTAATTAAAAAAAAAGTTTGAAATTGAATCAAAATGTTTCAATTAACGAACACTTTTTGAAAAACTTTTTGGAACTGCCAGCAACCCAACCCCACTGTTGTGAGCCCAGCTCTAGATGGGGTAAAATCAAGCAGACTGGCCCAGGGTTCTGGGCTGGGATCCCCCTATCCAGCATTAGCCCTGGGCCGGCTCTCACAAATGTGTGTGTGCCCACCCCCTGCGGCACTGATGCAAACAGCCCTTGTCCCGACCTCTGTGGAGGAACGTACCATCGCGCGCACACACCCTGTTGTTGTGGCTCATGGCTTGGTTACCATGGCAAGTCATTGAAAGCACAGCCTAAATCCCTGATTCCTTTTGGCGTGCACCACAAAGACGGACGTTAATCCTGGTGTGTGAACACATTGGGCATTAATGAGGCAGCTGTGGGGCAAATTCTCAGCGGGCCTCCCAAACTGCAACATCCCTCTGTTGGTCCACACCTCCCGTGTGTGCAAATGCCAGTGATGCTGCATGCAAACTGCTGCCTTTGGAAATACTGCAGGGCCCGGAGCCCGCAGTGCATCTACCTGCTTTCCACTATGATTCAGCATTCGCTAACCGCCCGCCCTTATTAGAGAGCATGGATTCTTGCTTCCCGCCCGCCCCGGTCTTTGGCTCGCCCGCACCGGGATTAACCAGGTGTGGGCGTGTAGCCACTTCCCCTTTCACAAGGGCAGGGCGAGTTTACAAACACTGATCCTCTCCCCAATGCGACGGGCCTGTTCTCAAAGCAATGTGTGCGTGTGGGAGGGCTCGAGTCCTCAGACGATGCTCTGAAAACATCCACCCACCCCCTCTGACTTTGGCCTGGGATTGATGGTCCCAGGACTAAACTGCAGACTCCCAGACTTCTGGGGAAGAAGAGACCATCAGGATCATCTAGTCTGACCCTCCTGCCCATCGTAGGCCAGAGACCCTCGTCCACCTGCTCCTGTAGTGGGCCCGTAACCGCTGCCTGAGTTACTGAAGTCCTCCGCTCATGGAACTGCACTGGAATGGAAAGACACTGAGAGAGGAGTAATGTGCATTTTTGGGGTGGCATCTTAAAAAGGGAACCGGGATGGGCTCACGCTGCGAACTTGAGAGTCAGACCCAGATCTCAAACGTCTACTGCTGGGGGCCGTTTGCCTTGGCCGGTTACAAAGCTGGGGACTGCTGGCAAAACAGAGCGCTGCACTTTGATCAGCCCAAAGTTCTGGGGTGTTTGGATCGGAGCTTGGTCAGGGCTCATTTCTAGGGGGGAACCAGTGCAGGGGGCCGGGGGGAATGAAGAGGAGAAGGTAGAAGGATGGATGTTTTTCTACAAGAGCTGCTCACGCTTAAACTGGCAGGAACCCAGGGCAGTTCTGGGCTGTGTCCTGCGGAAGGTCAGACCAGGGGATCGCAATGGGCCCGTCTGCCCTTGGAATCCAGGAATAAAGTCTGGGCTCGGGGCCACCGGTACCCGAGTGTGAATTCTCACTAATGAATTCCCAGCCAAGGATACCCGTGTTTGGGAGCATCCGGCTTAGGAGTCACAAATCCGCAGCAGGCTGGAGCGTGAAAGGCTCCATGGGGCAGACCCAGCAGACGGCCCAGGTCTTTCACCTGGCCCCCAGTTTTGGCCTGGGCCCAGAGGAGCACTACTAGGGCATTCGGTTTCCATAGGCTGCACTGGTAATTCTCTCGGCTGCCAGCCGCTGTGACTTATGGGCACTAGCTAGTCACGAGGGTGGCAGCCCTGGCATAGACCCCTTCAAGGGGCACAGAAAGGAGGGGTGGGGGGTGGAGGGGAGGGTCCATACTGATCTGGCAACCCCATGAATCTAACCTGCCGCTAATGCCAAGGTGGTGGGGGTTGGGCGGGGGGGGGGGGGAGAGGGTCGGAGCTGGGGGTGTCAGATCTGGGGTGGAGGTGGGGCATTAGATCTGGCTTCCAGTTCAGGCCCCGCTCTGATTCTCACAAAGCAGCAGCGCAGAGGAGGAACAGAAGGCGAGACAGAGACAAGCTGCTTCCCCCCTCTCCCTCCATCGCTTTAAAATAAATTCAGCCCCAAACACCACAAGTTGTGCTAGAAGCAGCCCCCGATATCCGGGCCTGGGGTTCGCCCAGCCCTTCATAGTGGGGGGCTGCTTCCTCAACGTGCCCCCAGACGGCTACCTCGCCTCTGCCCCATCCGCTGGGGCGCAGGAGTCTGCGCCCGGCGCCCAGTGGGGGCATGGCATGGGCTTGGGCAAGAGGAGACTGGCAGCTCCTCTTGGGTGTGAGTAACCGTCGCTGTGCCGCGTCGTGTGTGCAGCGCTTGCTCTCATGGGAAGTGGCCACAGACGGGGTGTTCGTGCTCCTGCATGGACTGGCTAGGAAGGAAGTGCTGAGGAAGGGGAGGGGCATCTTCCCACCTCCTTTTGCAAGCCAAGTATGTTGCCTTCCCGTGCATCCGCAGCCAAATTCTCCTCCCGGCTAGCCAGGGTAATCCCCTGGTTTCAGTGGGGCAACTGCAAGGTGAATTTAGCGCCGTCTCCCAGCGGCGGCGAGGAAGCAAGCCTAGATTCCCACCTGGCAGCAGTACCCGCGGCTGCAGACAGCAGGGCTGTCGGGCAGCTGGGTGCTTCGCAAGATCCTTGTGCCGCAATGAGTGTCGCCGCTGCTTAAGCTGGCGGGGCTGGGAGTGGATGGGTGGCGCTGAAAGCGAGCTGCTGAGAGGCGGGGTCTATAATCTGGGGTTCATTTGCCAGTGGCTGCCCAGGCTTGGGATGATTTGGGGAGAACAGGGGGGCTAGGCCTTTAGCACAGGTGTTAGTTTCACCCCTGGGAATTAACTGCTCCAGAGGGAAGATGCCATTTCTCAGGGTACATCTGCGCTGCAGCTGGAGTTGTGAATGGGATTGCAGCGTGTTCAGACATGCCTGCGCTAGCTTTGGTCTCGCTCGCTCCTGTCCCAATAGAAGTAAGGTCTAGCCACTCGAGTACCTAGCCAGGATACCTGGTGGGCTTCGACAGCTCACGCTAGCTAGGTCGAAGCGAGTTCAGATACGTCTACACGTGCTGCTATCACCTCGGCTCGCAGTGTAGATGGACCCTAAGAAAACCCAGCGAAGTGAGTCTGTATTGCACTTGTGTCTAGGTACCCAGAGACTATGGGGCTATCAGGTCACCACCTAGATCGATAAAAAATGGTCTGACCCCTGAGCCAAAGGGTGGACCCTGCACTTAGCACCGTCACGAATCAAGTCAGTCGCTACCTCCTCTGGTCACTTTTACCACCTAAACAAGAACATCCCTTTGTGCTTTAATAAAAGTGAAGTACAAACTCAGTGGAGTTTGGAAGTACAAACTCAGTGGAGAGAGCCTCCCGATGGGGAGCCTGGATCCAGGACCCGGGATGCGTCCCCTGGGGGAAGCAGGACTCTACCGCGCCCAACTCTGCAAAACACCAGCCGACTCATGTGTCTCTTAAATAAGAATAAAATTCCGTCGCAACGTGTGGTGGTTCTTTCCCTGGCCCTGCCTCTTGGGGGAAAGATTCTGCCTGGGAAGGTTGCTGTGGCTTTTGCCAGCTGATCTGCTTGTATTTCAGTGCTCTAATCAGCTTCCCCTCCCCGTTCCCTTCCAGCGTTTAGCAAGATCGGAGGATACCAGAACTTGGCAGAGGCTTATTTAAAGGCTGTTCCGGCCAAGATTATCCCCAACACAACATGCCACCTGCCCAGAGCTGACGCCATGCACCTCTTCCGAGATCCTGTCTCCGGAGACCTCCCCTGGACTGGCATGACTTTCGGGCTATCTGTCTTGGCTACTTGGTACTGGTGCACCGACCAGGTAAATGTAAACATATTCCCCCTCCCTCGCGGAATTGCATCTCCCCGCTCTATGGCCTCTGAATACTTGCAGTCCACCTGTTTCGGTGCCTACTGGTCCTTGCGGCTGGCGGCCCCAGGGAGCCTCCGTTTGGAATCGGTGGAAACCTGCTGGCCCCCGCCCGCCCTGGCCTTGAGGTGCTTGGACTGTGAGAGTTTGGTGAGCGGGATGCCGAGTGGCGTCCTCACTTCGTCCGCTGTCCTCTGGCTTTCTGGGAGGGAGGACAAGGGCTTGCCGGTTGCTCTGCTGAGGCCTTGGCCGGGCTGCATGTTCCTGATGGAACTGAAACCTTTGCTTTGCCAGTATGGCGGGGAGCTGGTGGCTGCGGTGGGTTTTTTAGCACTGGTTCCGTCCGCCTTGTATTTGCTGGGCCCTGGGTTTTTCTCGTGTCTCGGGGCGTGGACGCCCCCTTTGCCTTGTCCCGGGCATGCTGAGTTCCTGGATACGTAGTGGTGGAAAGGCTGACCCTGTTTGATAAAGACAAGAGAAGAGAATAATGGTTACCGGCAAGAATTGGTTGGACACACACGCCTGAAACGCTACCTGTGGGACTGGCTCTGCCACTGACACTGTGCAACCTTGGGCGAGTTCCTTCGCCGTTCCCTAGCTCTAATTCTCCTCGGGTCTGGAGTGACTGGAAACCCCCAAGAGAAAGAATTAACCCAGCGTTTCCCATTGCGGCTCCTGTGATAGCTTGCCCTCTGTTTCCCCCAGAAATTCACGGCATCACTTAGGTCTCCAGAGATACCTCCGTGCTCTGCCACTGTATAGTAGCCTCAACACCCATCGTGACCCTCGGTGTGGCTGCTTCATGCTGGCTTAAGGCAAGATCCATGCAGCCGCAGGTCCTGGCTTTGGGCGTGGAGGGGACCACGGACCGACCCAACTTGCAGCTGCGGATTTCAGTGGTGGGGAAGATGCCACCTGAGAAGGGTGGAGCAGGAGGTGACATTGGTGTGGCAGGAAGCCAGCAGCACCATAGCATTGGGGGGCTTGATTAGTTGTGTAGAGGCGCCTTTACATTGGGTCCGGGCCCCAATAGTCTTAATCCACCACTTGCATAAACTGGATATTTGTCTCCCTCTGTTTCCATCCTATTAGCTGGTTAAATACCCTGGATGGCTTCTTTTCCCCACAATCCTTTGCTGTGGGCTCCCATGCCAGCCTGCAAAATGGACGTAAAACCACACCCAAATCAGACGTCTCCACTCACGCGGGAGGTCGCATTTCACACTCACTGACCAGGCACAATGTGCCAGCACATCCTGGGCGTGTCTTTGTCCCGGCTCTGCTCTGAGGCCGATATGGCCCCACGCCCGAGCCAGAGGCGCCTCTTGGCACTGGTTCCATACAGAACAAACCCAAAGGGCCCAGCTGGATGGTGTCGTGCAAAAGCCCATTGAACGTGTTGAGACAGGAGCAAATATTTAGATAACAGAGACAATTGCTAGGAAGCCGGGCAATGCACCGTGCGTGTTTCCACCACGCCTCGTCAGCAAACAGAATCCCTGGCACGAGGCTCTGAGCCCCAGCAGCCTTGCTGAGAAACACGCTGGCTCCTTGCAGGTGACCCACAAGCCTGTAGTTCTGGCCCTGCCACTCTGATTGATGCATCTGATTGATGCATCCCGCCGACAAAGCTACCACCTCCTGTTGGAGGAGGATTTATTTTGTGGGCAGGAGAGCTCTCTCCCGCCCACAAAGAGCGGCTACGCTGCGCACCTCTTCGCGGCACGGCTGTAGCAGCGCGGCTGTGTCGCTAAAAGGCATGTAGTGTAGAGACAGCCGTACTAACCCTGGGACCAAAGAACCAAAGCCTGGCACCGAGCAGTGCTCCTGCCTTGCCAGACTGAGTGTTGCGCTAGCCGGGAACCCAGCAATCCCACCCGATTGACCTCAAACGCGGCCGAGCGCAGCTGCGTTCCTGCTCTGTTGTGCCAGGCTGCCACCCGCAGAGACGACGTATCCCAGCATGCAGTGCTCTCGCTCCAGCCCAGTGGAGGGTGAGGTGGACCCTTGCATGCAAGGAGCTGGGGTCTCCAGCGGGGGAAGTCCATGGGTGGCACTGGGCCGTTCTGATGTTCTGGAATAATACCAGCAGATCCTGTTTGGGGCAGCCCTGCAGGATGCAAGGACCAGATGGGCCTGGGCTGCAAAATTTGGGTCGAGTGCTGAACGTCCCCAGTGTTTGGGGGAGTTTGGACATGACATGGTGGTTGGGGCCCAATTTCTCAAGCACTAAGCTGCAGCTGGTCGTGTCTCCCTCTCTCTCGCAGGTCATTGTGCAGAGGTCTCTCTCGGCTAAGAACCTGAGTCACGCCAAGGCCGGCTCCATCCTGGCGAGCTATTTGAAAATGCTGCCGCTGGGGGTTATCATCATGCCGGGGATGATCAGCCGGGTTCTCTATCCAGGTGAGGTACAGACACAGCAAAGGGGAAGTGTCGGCAGGGTTTTATAATTTGTCTGTCACTGCGCAAAAGCCGCTGCGGTTCAGAAGGGCGGCTTTAGCCACTTTGCATAGAGGATTGGGACAGCATGCTGAGTCCCTCTGCGTGGATGTTAACCAGCCTGCAGGGTGCTCTTCAAAGGGCCTGGGATTTGCTTGAGTATCCTTGGTCAAAAGTTCCCCTTTTCCCTTCCTAGTGTGTGCTGGGCACCGGTGGGCTGCAATCCCCCACCGCAGAGGTGGCTGCATTTCTATGGTGGTGTGTGCGTACAGCTAGTGAAATGCTTTGGAAGGAGTGTTATGTTGTTGTGTTGGAGATGGGCTGTTTCAATCCCAATTGGGTTTAGGGGTGTGTGTGTGTGTGGGGAGGATCAGGGCTGAATTTTGGGGTTAGGGCTGAAATTCAGTGGCACCAGCTCTTCTTATGAGCCTTTGCCCCAAGCTTTGCAAGATCATCTGATGTTGTGAGATCTCAGCAGCATCCAAATGGGAAATAGACTCTTTCCACTTCAGGGTTCAATTTGGAACCAAAACGCTACAGAGTGGCTGAGCTTGGGGACACGGATCCTTGATGCCCCACTGACGTTTGCAAGGGTTCAGAGGAGAGGGTTACAGTTCAGGCCCATTGCTAGCTATTAGGTCACAGTCCTATCTGGCATAACTCTTCCATTAATGACCCTGTGGATTCTGGGCTTCTCCAGGTTACACTAGGGAGGAATTTTGGCTTGTGTGACGCCGTAGGGAGCGGGGCGGACTGACCTGGGAATGTCGTCTAGTTTTACTGGAACTATCTGCATGGGGGATGGGAGAGCAGGGGATGACTTTATTTGAGGGCCGATACCTAAGCCTGTAACCTAAGCTGGGAGGGGGATGGGGCCAGGTGACACCTTTGCCCGGGAAACTGGATAAAGGCTGGAGGAGGAGCCGGGGGGAAGGTGGAAGGAGACGGCTGCAGTAGCGTTTCAGTTTGAAGCTGGCTGGGGAACCGGAGGGAACCCCCCAGGGTTGGGGTCTAAGCTCCCTGTCTCCCCGCCTCCCCCCCGAGGGACCTGGATGAGGGGTCCTGGTTGTACCTACAAGCTCTGCTTGGGACTGTGTTCCTGTCGTCCAATAAACCTTCTGTCATACTAGCTGGCTAAGAGTCACGGTAAATCGCAGGAAGAGGGGGGTGCAGGACCTTGACTCCCCACACTTGGTGACAGCTTGATAACGGCTTATTGTTTATGAATGAGCTGGTTGAGGTTTCTGGTGTGTTCCTAATGATGACCACTTGACTCATTGGTGTCTTTCCCCTGCAGAAGTCTTGAGGAAGCTATTGCATGAACGCTCATCCCAGTACAAAGCTCCCTGGCCAGTGTTTGGACACTCTGGCTGGGACGCGGGGCCAGAGCAGACTGCTTTATAGCAATGCTTGAAAGCTTTTGGCACAGCCGGCTTTACACAGTGCTGCGATTTTCGGATGAACGAGTAAAATCGCATTGGCTGTTAGCTTAGCATCATCTTCGCAGGGACGTGAGGGCGAGCATATATTGGGTCTGGGCTGGTAAATTTCATTACCTAGAGACAGATTAGAGCAGGGGGTCTCAAACTGGGGATCAGGACCCCTCAGGGGGTCGTGAGGTTATTACATGGGGGGTCGCGAGCTGTCAGCCGCCACCCCAAACCCTGCTTTGCCTCCAGCATTTATAATGGTGTCAAATACACCTCTACCCCGATATAACGTGACCTAATATAACACGAATTTGGATATAACGCAGTAAAGCAGCACTCCAGGGGGGGCTGCGCACTCCGGCGGATCAAAGCAAGTTCGATAGAACGTGGTTTCACCTATAACGCGGTAAGATTTTTTGGCTCCCGAGGACAGCGTTATATCGGGGTAGGAGGCGTATATAAAAAAGTGTTTTTAATTCATAAGAGGGGTCACACTCAGAGGCTTGCTATGTGAAAGGGGTCACCAGTCCAAAAGTTTGAGACCCACTGGATTAGAGCTACATTGAGGGCTGGATCCTGAGACCCTGAGAGCTGCTCCAATTTCTGCCAGCGGAGGATCAGGCCCCGAATGCCTGAACGCACTGAAAGGTGGCATGTGAAAGCTGGCCCTGGACTAATCTCTGTGCCTTTTAGAAAAGGCAATGCAGAGAGTGCTGTGCAGCGAAGCAGCAACCTCAGCATTTGAGCTAAAAAGCGGGGCGTGTCCGGGCACGGCCACCCCTGGCAGGAATAGCTGTCCCGCAAATAAAACCAAGCCCAAATGATCAGCATGTTCCTTGCTGTGGCTAGGCAGAGTGAGTAGGCCTGAAAAGTGCTGACTGCGGACTGTTGCAATGTTCTCCACCACCCCTATTTCACACTGTCGCCGGGTGCCTCTGAGTCATTCCGCGCCGGGTGCTGTTCTCTTTGATGCTAATCGTTTTTTTATCAGGAGCTAAACAGCAAGCCTGGGAGGGACCCGCCTGCATGGGCCACCCTGGTCCTACCTGCGCGTCACACCAGGGCACACGTGTTTGTTGCTGAAAGGGCCTTTTGCTGGAACCTGAAATACGGCTTGGTGAAAAGAGCTTCACAAAGGGGCATGGGGGGAGGGGGAGTTTTCTGCTCTGCTCCTAGACGGCCCTTTGCCGCAGCTGGAGACGTAACGCCCAGCTTGGGTAGATAGACGTGCGCTAGCTTGGATCGAGATCGCACGCGACAAATAGCAGCGCCGCCACCGCGGGGGTGGTGGGACGGTCTAGCCACCCAAGGGGTAGCAGCATCAGGGCCAGCCTTATGGGTGGGCCACGTGGGCAACCACCCGGGTGCCGTGGTCTAGAGGCAAGGAGCGGGGAAGGCCTGTGCAAGGTTGCAGAAGGGAGCTCAGGGCAAAGGTGGGGAGGCAGAGGCCAGGGAGGAATGGTTGGGGGGGGGAGGGAGCCCGGAGAGGCAGCAGGGGTCAGGGGGCAATGGGGGGATGGATGGGGAGGCAGTGGGGAGTAGGGAGCCCAGGGAGGCAGTGGGGGGTGGGAGGGCGGGAGGGAGCCTGGGGAGATAGCGGGGGCCAGGGGCAATGGGGAGGAGCTCAGGGAAGCAGCGGGGGGCAGGGGGGATGGGTGGGGGGCCGGGGGAGGCAGCGGGGGGTGGGGGGTATGGGTGGGGGGCCAGAGGAGGCCGCAGAGGGCCAGGGGAGGCAGCGGGGGGCTGGGGCGATGGGAGGGGGAGGGGGGGGGGGGCGGGGGGGGGGGGGCAGGGGTGGGGGGCCAGAGGAGGCCGCAGAGGGCCAGGGGTGCCAAAATACAAATTTGCCCAGGGTGCCATTTTCCCTAAGGCCATCCCCAAGCAGCATGCAGAGCGCAGCCAGGCTCCAGGGCAGGAGAACGAAGCAAAGAACAGACTGATACGACAAGCCGTCCTACCTGCCCGGCCTTGCTGGTGACTGCTCCCTTTCCATCCAGGACAGCGCGCAGGCTATTGTCCTTTTCCAGCACACACCTAATCACCTCGGTAACATCGTCTCGCCTCTGGACCCCGTCCTCCAAGCGCAAGTTTGGCGGCGACTGCAGGCTCCCCAGGGGGCTGATGTAGGTGCCCCGGCTGACGTGGGGGTCGCTCATTTTCCTTTGCAAGTGCAGGTTCCCCCCGTTGGGGATGTGATCGGAGTTGGTTCTCCGGAGCGGCCCAAAGCGACCTCTCACCTCAAAGAGTTCGTCCGAGGTGGAGGAGGCGTTGGAGTGGTGGTAGCTGTGGGTGGCAGAACTGCTAGAATAGCTCTCCTGATCGCTGAGCGTCAAATAGTCCTCTTCATCTTCCTCCCCTTCCAGCCCGTTCACGGGACACACGGCTGCCGTGCCCTGAGCTTCCGGGGATACGGCCGCCTGCCTCCTCAGCTGGTGATCGCTGGCCGCGGCTTGAGCTTGTGTGGGGTTTTCACCCGGCCCGTGACCTGCATTCGCTTGCTCTGCCACCTGGTGCAGCTGCTTCTTGGCATCCCCGAGCAGGGCAGCCGTGTCTTTGCAGAGCGCACTGTTTTTGGAGATAAAGTCCATGACATCAACCGTCCTCGGCCTTGGCACTGGGGGCCTGACATCCATCTTGTGCGTCTCTGCGGCCGTGGGCTGCTTCAGGTGCTGGCTCACAGCCAGGATAGCCAAAGCTCCTTTCTTGTCCTCCCCAGGACTCCTTGCTTTGGGGCTTTCTACTGGCTTGGGAGCTTCCTTGATTGGGGTCGGAGGGGCCTCTCTTTGCTCCCGGCTGGCTGGAGAAGGCTCTTGGCTTTTCTTGGCTTCCAACTCCTTGTTTTTTAGCATCTGCCTGTGCTGGGCATTGGCCTGGGAGATGTCACAGACCTTGATGCGGTTCATTTGGGACAGCTTCACATTCTTTATAGTGGGGTCGATGATGTTGATGTACCCCAAGATTTCGCTTGGGTCTGGGTCTGGCTCCACCCAAGTGGGCAGGTAGTCGAACATGTTGGCCTTCTCCATGTTGAGGAGGCCGGGGTGGATGGGTGGGGCTAGGTCGGCCATGTCGTTTTGCCGCTCGGCACCTTGGCCCTCGGGAAGGGCCTTGTCTTTGCTGTCCATCATCTTGTTTCTGCCGGCGCCCGCCTGCCCCTCGGACGACATCTTGCTGATCAGTTCTGCGCTCTTGGCCTTCACCAGGGCATATTTTGGGTTAATCAGCCTCTTCACCACTGCGTTGGCCGGGGTGACGGGCGTGACGGAGGGCAGAGTGAACGGCTCGGGTTCCGGCTCCTCGTCCATGGGAATGGACTTCAGGCTGAGCCCCCGGGACATGAGATACAGCTCCTGGAACTGCTTGTCGAACGCTTCCACCACCTGGCCAGAGAGGACCGAGATGAGGTTCCTGTCGGTCCTGGCTGCGGACCAGGTGAAGCTGGAACAGAACCAATGAGAAACAGTCTGAGTGCATGGTGGCAAATCCGGCCTGGGTTCCCCTGCTCCCTGGCTTGCTAGTGAGACTTGAATACCTCAACCCCGGGCTCGGTTCTGTGCTCTCTGGGGCTGGCTAGATCCTGCCGCCCCATGGACTGAGTTCACAAAGGGCTGCCTTCTACTGCTGCAAGAGCTTTATGTACGTCTCTGCCTAGTCACTTCCTCAGACACATGTCCAAGGGGCAAGAGCGGGGTCTTAGAAACAAATCCTCACAAAACTGCCACCTAATTTAGCAGGAGCAGCAGACTTATCTCAAGGCAAGTCTGGGGTGTGCTGACTGGAGGTGAGAGGTCGGGATTGCTGGGTATCGGGGGCGGGGGGCAGATTGGGTTCACTGGGTATCAGGGTTTGCAGGTCAGGATCAGGTTGCAGTAGCAGAGCTCTGCATGCATATTTCAGCTGGTACACCCAGCTGCATGCTTCTACCCATTGCTCTGACTCTGCACTATCATGAGGATCAAAATTCACATCCCCTTAAACTAAAACGCCGACCCGCACGGTCCCTCTGTGGCCCAGCTGAGGCTGACCCCGTCCGGTGCGCTCTTTAGATGTGGGAACGGCTGACAGAGCTGTCTCTGGATTACCTGTAGGACCCGCACATAGCCCGGTCACCGTCCACGAACATGAACTTCTGGGCCAAGGCACCTTTGAACCTCATGGCCGAACGGGTGAAAAATTCCGTTCCCCCCGTGGTGCGAACGCGGAGATTCTGCAAAGCAAAAGCAAGGCAGCAAGTGGGAAAAGAATCCGAGGAGACGGTGCAGTGAGATGCTTATGGCCTGCCTCAATGGACTCTTGTTTAGGGCTGAAAAATCGAGTCTCTCTCCCTGTCGATTTGCTCTGTTTTTAAATGGCCACTTCCATGGACCACTCCCTCTGTTAGCCAGCTTGGGCTTGATTCTGCTCTGAGTGGCACTGTTCTAAATCTGGATTAACTCTGCAGAATTCGACAGCGGTGCTCCGGTTTCACACCACCATCACTGGAGCTGAATTTGGCCCCTTAGCTCAATAAAAATGCACAGCCCTATCTTCAAAGCACCGTTCAGCTCTCTGCATAGACACTGACTCGTCCCCGCAATAGCTCTGAAAGGCGGCTAAAGCCTGGTTTACATGTAAAGTGTCGCTCGACTTAGCTACGTCACTCAGGGGTGTGAAAAATACACGCCTCTGAGCACCGCCATTAAGCCAGCCTGAACCCTGGTGTTGATGCAGCTAGGTCGACAGAAGAATTCTTCGGCCGCTCAGGGAGGTGGATTTATTGACAGTAGCGCCAGTAGTGTAGACATGTCCTAAGTATTATCCACTGTGGCTGAGAAGGGAACTGTGAGACTTGAGTTCAGGAGTTTGCTGCTTCCCCAAAATGCCTAACCTGGTTTTGTGTGGATTTTCTGCTGTGATTATCCCCTTTTTACGGTCACCCACTGGCTGGAGCTTGGGATGGGATCGGCCTCGGGTGAACCGCAAATGCTTGTCACCTGGAACAGCCGTTTGGAGAGTGTTCCAGACTAGCTTGGTGTTACTGACATGAAATAACTGGCAGCCAATGAACTCAAGGTAAGAAGGCTAGTGTGGACTGACCCATAGGGACGCAGCGAATACCTCAATGTGCCTTGAGATCCCGGCATGGGAGGCGCATTAGAAGCTCAGTGTTGTTTACATTTACACACCCAGGAAAACAAGCTAGAGGTCGACCTCATTCCGTCACCCAATTCAGTGCATCCCTGTTAACTTAATATCCTTTAACAGCCCATTAATCCAGCTCCTCCCTCTAGGCCAACCCATTTCATAAGTTCACAAAGGACCATTCGACGCTCTCAGGTCACACCCAGCACAGCAAAACACCCAGGTCTCAAGGTATGTTTCATTCTCCCTCCTCCTCACTCTCATAGCAGCAGCTGCTTTAAGTAATCTCCAGTCGGAAGAAAATAAAAGCCAGCGCACACAAAGATAGATGACTGATCAGAAAACATCCCCTGAATCACTGCAAACACTCAGCAGTTGCTTAACAAACTGAGTGGCTTTCCCAAGCCTGTGCGGTATTTACTAAGTCCATTGAGCCTGCTTTTTAGACACTGAAATAACAATGTCCATGTCTTTAGCACCTTTTATCCTGCATGCTCCGGCTCAAAGCACTTTCCAAATAGCGTCTCAAGTTCTCTGGGATGTCCTGGCAGCTTTGCACCATTCTGGCAATTGACTTCCATGGTGTCAAGTATCGGGGGTAGCCGTGTTAGTCTGTATCCACAAAAACAAGGAGTCCGGTGGCACCTTAAAGACTAACAGATTTATTTGGGCATAAGCTTTCGTGGGTAAAAAAACCTCACTTCTTCAGATGCACGAAAGCTTATGCCCAAATAAATCTGTTAGTCTTTAAGGTGCCACCGGACTCCTTGTTGTTTTTGACTTCCATGGGTATTTCTATACTGCCAGCCTCCCAACCCAGGTAGATCGATTCGGGTTAGTGTGAGTCTGTCGACGAGTGCCGGGAGGCAGTGTAGACATACCCAGTGAGAGCTAGGTGGGAGAATCCAACCTGGACTCTTTCTCCAGGGATCTGCTGGTCCCGGTCCTGGCCCCGTCCACAGCTCTGCCAATGCACCAGAGTTCTCACCGGCATCACCCCTTGCGACTAGCCTGGAGCTTTCCTGAGCTGAACATTAATCTTAATCTCAGTGCTGGGTGCCACATAGCCCAGATGCATGGGAATCACTTCCACATGCAACCCCGGCCAGTTAATGTGCTGGGTAGGAGAACACCAGGCACCTGTCGGAGCCAGTGCTGTGTTGCCTACGTATGTATGAACTTTCCTTTCTCTCTGTGCCACAGTCCCCGTGACAGCCATTCTCCAGCTAGCTTGAGAGGTGGGAGGCTCATGAGTGCGCGTGGATGCCAGTCAGAGAGCCGCTTGGTGGCTGGAGCCACGTGGCTGCATTCCTCAAGGTAGATATCTGCTGTGCCAAGCAAGGCAAAGGCAAAGTGGTTATGGCCCAGTGGTTAAAGTACAACCAGGAAAATCAGGCCGTTCAGAAGGCCTGAAAGTGAAACCAGGAGATTCCCATGCATTAGGAGTTTGTGATAACAGCCACACGCCCATCTGGTGCATGCCGGCTTTTGATCATTGTTCTGCAGGTAGGTAGGACCAAAGGTGTGCCCTGCTGGCTTTAGTCACTTCTGGGAACCCCTCCCATCCGCCCTTTGCATTCACACAACGCCTGCCCTGGCTGATGGGCTTATGCAACTAGCGAGCCTTGGTAACACTGGCTAGCGTGGTCCAGATCTCTAGCAGCAGCACTAGCGGGACCTTTCTCACACGGCTTGCCAAAGTACACAGGTCCCTGGCCTGGAACATTCTTGGAGGTTTTCCAGAACAGAGGCTGCCAGATAGTGCTAGATATTGTGGGAGCAGGTGAAATGCCAGTGGAAGGACTAGCTTGAGAGCACCAAACCCATGGTGATGCCCTGTGCCCAGTTTCTTATTTCTATATCCCAGACATTCTTGGTGCTGTCCAGCCAGGAGACTTGATCCCTGCCCCCCTCTCCCCCCCAATGTAAATGGACACGGCAGTGCAGCGCTTAGACAACCGACGTGCGGGTATATCTCCTGGAATCCATTCCAGCCACTGCACGGGCCTCGGACACAGGTGCACTTTGACCTTCCCTGTTCTCTGCGTGTGGCACACAATAGTTTAGTCTCTGGAGGGCTGTAATACTTTGCTCTGCCTAGTTGTGGGGCTTGATCCTACATGTTCTTGGTCAATATAAAAACTCCACCGGAGTGATAATTCTCCTTTAGCTCAAGTGGCAGGGGCTTGTGCCAGGAGGCTCTGCGTTCTAGCCCTGTCAGGCCTGGTGTGGCAGATGTATTTAGCACAGAGGCAGCCATGAGATCCTGTTGCCAGGGACTGGTTACAATACGTGTCTCTCCTGTTAAAATAAGGGGACAGGACTGTGACATCAAAGCCAAGTCGCTCCTTGCCTCCCTGCCTGAGTGTGAACACATGCGCTGGCAGAGTCCTTCCATTGTTACTCTCTCTCCATGGGTGCCGTGTCGGGCTGGGTGTTCGACATCACCCTGGCTGGAGCCAGCAGCTGTTCTGCTGCTGCCATCTGGCCCTGCCTGCCATTAATGGGAATGACCAACACATAGTTGGCAGCTTGCGGGAGACGCTGGGGGTGTGTGCGTCTCCTCACCCCCCCCCCATCCCGCCTCCTTGCTGTTGCTGGGTGTGGAGGCCCTGGAACGGGAAAGCCTAGCTTGTTGTTTTCAACAGTCTCTTCTCTTCCCTTGGCTGCCGGGTTGCCTGAAGCTGATAGACCCAATCATCCCACATGCCCCATAGGCTGCCACAGAGCTACCGATCTGGCAGCCGGGGCCACAGACTCCACAGATCTTCCCCTGCAGAATGGCTGGGCTGGGGGGGCTGCAGAGGCAGCTCCGGGATCTTGGGGGAGGATTCCTAGCCCTTCCCTTCCCCCCTGTGCGGTTTCACCTGCACCCAGATCAGCTCTTTGGCCTGCATGCAGTGGGGACATGGGGGGCTGGATTAAGCCTTCAGGGCCAATGCTCCTTGCTAACTTCTCCATCATATCCCAGGCCTTTCCCACCTCCTCCAGCAGTCTCCGGGTCTTACACGTGCTACCGATACAGATAGCCTCCCCCATGCCTCAGAGACGCCTGTGCCCTGAAGAGACAGCTGGCCAAACATCCCCTTTCCCTTCGGCAGACAGATCCAGGTGGGTGAGCTGCTGTGTTTTGAGCTTCACTGGGCACCATTATTAATTTGTATTTGTGCCCAGCCAAGCGGCAACATCGGCCATTTCCCAGACAGGTCCACTCAAGGGTCTGTGTGTCAGGGAGGGGGCATGGATTGAAGCCTTAAGTGACAGCATCCTGGCCCAGGCGTCAGCCAATCTGGCCGGCTCCTTCCCTCCACTCCAACCTCTTTGTATTTCACTCCAGGCCTGGCTCTGAGCTGGCTCCCAGCCATCCCTCGCTGGACGGCCTAGGCCTGGACGTCAGCTTAGGCCTTGTGTACAGGAGAAACCGGCACGGATTTAACTCGACTGCTGCCACCCGCTTTGTGGATGCTCTGAAACGGAAATGAGGGCGGGGGGCACTGATGGAATAACGCTCACTAGCTCCGATCAGGCGATTTCACAGCACTCTGTGAAGGAAGGCAGCATCGTTATCCCCATTTTACATCTGGGGAAACTGAGGCACGTTGCAGGGAGGTGACTTGCCCAGGGGCAGAGCTGGGACTAGTGCCATGGATGCACCCTAGCCACTAGACCCCACTGCCTGGCTTAGCCAGCACCCCACTTCATTTTATACAAACACACCCTTCCCCAGTGGTGCCCGGAGGGGCTAGCAGGGGGCTTGCTGGAGATCTGCACCCCATTTGTGCCCAGAAGGAAAGCGGGGCCTCCGACGTGCTTGTGGGGGCCACGTGCCTAGCTGGCTTCTTTCTGGCCCCTCCTGAGTCAAGGCAGAGCTCTGAGAACGAACCAGGAGAAGTTGCAATGACTCATGGCACCATCGGCTCTTCGGCCTTTGAAACGATAATAACAGGCAGCGCGAGCGCCGTCGCTTGTAAACTGGGGGAAAATACCAGCCGGAATGGTCTCACCTGCAGCCAAGCTCCCTTTGTTTAGCCGGCTGTGGCGTCCTGAGTGGGAGGCAGCCCTCCATTTCAGGTTGTTAGCCTGTGGGCGTGAGCGAAATGCGCCGTCCAGGGCACCCGCTATTCTTAACGCTGCGCTCAGCTGCAATTCGGTGCCATTGCCTTGAGGCTGCCCAGGGCAGTGGGCCTGGTTCTCCCGCACCTGGCACTCTGTGTCGTCACCCAGCCAGGCTCATGCGTGACATCGCTTTTCATGCATTCGCTGTGCATGGAGGTAACCAAGGACACCAGGGCAGAATCAAACCCGAGTTTTCTATCCTAGCTTCCAGTTGACTAATCCTGCTTGCCTATAGCCACCCACTGCACGGCGCCACGCCCTCGGTGCCCAGCTTACCTTCAGGTGCCCGGCGTGCATCTGTGCTCGCTCGCACATCTGAAGGAAGTATTTCACATTGGTCTCATCCACAATGATGTAGACGCCGACTTTCCGCTTGAAGCCTGCTTCCAGGAGGTCCTTGAAGATGTCAACGTCTGTGAACATGTCCATGACCACAGCCACAACCTGTTGAGAGAGGGGAGGGGGCAGAAGAGGGTGAGTTCAAATGATATACACAGGTTAGAGTGCCGTGAGTAGCTTCACTGACTGACCCCTGCTGTTCCGCCTCAAGTCAGGGACTGAAATTATTATTACTTATTACAGCCATGGCCGTGGTGCTAGGCGCTGTACAAACACAGAACAAAAAGACAGTTCTTGCCTTCTCTGATCCCTGGGGCAAGACCAGCTTTGTGAAATGTTTACTAGTCCTCAGTGTAGTTGTACTGGTGCCATCCAAGTGTTTCTAGCCTTCTAAGGAAGTGAGATTTCCCTCTGATTTACCGCGCTGCTTTCCCCATCAAGGCAATTCTTAAATGATTTTATCTGCCTCTGGATTGACACCCGCTATGTAGAATTCTGCGTGGTACCAACCAGAAGCCGGCAACCCTCATGTTCAAATGAGATCCGACATTGGGGATTGGTCCTGCTTTGAGCAGGGGGTTGGACTAGATGATCTCCTGAGGTCCCTTCCAACCCTGAGATTCTATGATTCTGTGATTAATCGCCAACTCTAGTGGACTGGGACGCAGCGCGTGCTCCGCTCACGTTGGAGCTGAAGTTGGAAGCATAGCAAGACGGTCATCAGGGTGATGTGAATTTAACTGGCAAGAACTTGCGATCTGCCTAGGATACAAACAAATGGGGCTTACCAGGTGAGGACCCCACTTTCCCTGGCAGAGCTGCACTCAGAGCAGGTCCCGAGACTAGCACCAGTAGCACGAACTCACATCAGACAAGCAGGGGACACACACACCAGCTCAGGGCCCTGATCCTGCTGGCGCTTATGCACCGGCGGTACCTTTACCCAGGGAAGCAGTCTCCTAGAAGTCAATGGAACTACCCCTGTGTGCATGTCTCTACGAGAGCTGGACCTTACTCAGCTCTGCAAACTCATACCATGCCTTGAAAATGCAGCCCCCTGGGTCACTCGCTGGGTCCCCCCCACCAATACACAGAGGATATGGGCCAGTTACAGCCCCCAGCTATTGAGCCTTGACTCTTTAGCTCAAACTGTAGCAGCTCACGCTTTGAGCTCCGGAAGGTCCTGGTATGTTGGCCAAGATGGCAGCCTTTACACATGTTCTGCAGAGAGTGGAGACACCGAGATATATTATCCCCCTCTCTGAGAAGCAGGGACTAGAACCTGGGTCCTTTAGCTCCCAAAACACAAGTGTCAACCGCTTGAGCTGAATGCACCCCTTGTCCCCCCACAGCTGGTCAGAAGAGCCCCATGGAGGTAGCACCCTTTGAAAATCCCCACGCTACACCTCCACTCTCCTGTCTGTCTTGGACAACAAAAACGTTCACGCCGGCAAAGTCTCTGAGCCTCAGAAGGAAATCTCCATCACCTTGCCCGAACGGTCGATGCGCACGTCCCTGCTAACACTCGGAGATGAGATCAGCCCCCTCCCAACCATCTCGTAGCACCATGCTGTTCGAGCCAGCAGTACCTTTCACGTCTACCCTGTAATATTCCACTTGTACTATATCCATGCTGCGTGGCGTGCAAATCCCTTGGCTCTAGGGTGACCAGACAGCAAATGTGAAAAATCAGGACGGGGTGGTGGGTAATAGGAGCCTATATAAGAAAAAGACCCAAAAATCGGGACTGCCCTATAAAATTGGGACATCTGGCCACCCTACTTGGCTCGGAAGACAGGCTGCAAATGAGGGCACTTCTGAGATTTCCATCTTAGCGTCATTTGAGCCTGCATTCCGGCCCCAAGCAGAGCGCTTTGTACTTCATAGCCGGCAGCGGCTGACGACGTCTAGTGCTTCATGAGCATTCATTAAGCCCCGGGAGGGAGGTGTTGTTAGCCCCATTTTACTGACAAACTGGGGCACAGAGGGTGAAGTCCTGCCTCTGTTGAAGTCAGTGGCAAAACTTGCACTGACTTCAAATGAGCCAGGAATTCAGCCAGACTGTTTACATGACTTGCCCAAAGTCATAAGGATGAGTCAGGAGCAGAACCCAGGAGTCTTGACTCCTGTTCCCTACTCAACAGCCTCCTTTTCCAATAGTGGAATGTAGCACGAGACGCCCAGGTCGCTGATTTCTTTTGGCAAAGCTACGATTCCTTGTGTGAAAGGGACAGGGTCTACACGTCTGTCTGTCATAGGGCTGCCAGGAATGCTCAGTCGAAAAGGGAGCCTGGTAGCTCCGGTCAGCACTGCTAACCGGGCCACAGTGGCCAGCATGTCCATTCAGCTCCTGTGCGCTGCCCCTGCCATCAACCCAGCTCCGCAGTTCCCATTGCCAGGAACTGCGGCCAATGGGAGCCGCAGGGGCGGCGCCTCTGGACGGGGCAGTGCACAAAGCCCCCTGGCCGCCCAGTGCTCCTGCACCTAGGAGCCGGAGGGACATGTTGCCTCTTCTGCGGGCCACCTGAGGTAAGCGCCGCCCAGAGCCTGCACACCGAACCCCCTCCCGTGCCCCAACCCCCTGCCCCAGGCCTGAGCCCCGTCCTGCACCCCAACTCCCTCCCAGAGCCTGCACCTCCTACTGCACCCCAACCCCCTGCCCCAGCCCAGAGCCCCCTCCCACACTCTGAGCCCCCTCCTGCACCCCAAACCCCTCATCCCTGGCCCCACCCCAGAGCCTGGGCCCCTAGCCGGAGCCCTCACCCCCTCCTGCATGCCAACCCCCTGCCCCAGCCCGGTGAAAATGAGCGAGTGAGTGAGGGTGGGAGAGAGTGAGCGACGGAGGGAGGGGGGATGGAGTGATCCAGGGCGGGGCCTTGGGGCAAGGGGCGGGGCCTGGGGGCAGGGCAGGGCGGGGCCAGGGTGTTCGGTTTTCTGCAATCAGAAAGTTGGCAACCCTAGACTGCAAATGCCTTACCTCTTGCTGCTCCCAGAAACACCCAAGATTCCCCTAACCGAAGGATGTCAGAGGACAAAGTATTGCTCCCTAATGCCATCCTCCAAGAGATGAGGCCTCCATGTGTTAATTACTCATGTCAGGCCAGGCCTCAGCTACAGTTTCACGGCTTCCCCTTTTGGTTTAGGTGCGTCTTTCGCTCTGCAGTGGGGAGGAGGGGAAGAGGAAAACGTGACCGTAAAGCCACAGACATTGGCCAGATGATTTAGGGCAGCGTTTCCTCACCGGTGTGCCACGGAATTTTTTGAAAAACGACATATGAGAACAAAAAAATCCTTCCCTTGTATTTTGATGCATGTCAGAGCCGGACTCTAATATCCTTCGTTTTACTGTACAGACTGTGAATCGCAAGGGCGGTGAACAGCTTAAAGCAAGGCAATAAGAGGGTGAGTTGATTTGGAGACAATATGCCTCAAAAGAATGAAAGGTGTTGAGGTGCGCTGAGGCAGAGAAAAGGTTGGGAACCACGGACTTAGGGCTGGAGGTAAGAGCTGCAGTGACGTTCCCTTCCTTTTTAAAAGCTGGCTCAGCTGCAAGCCGGCAGTGTTCCTTGAAAGTCGCGGGCAGTTTGTCATAGTTACAAGGGATCACGCCTGGCTGCTCTGTTTAATCAGGTGCTGTGACGGAGGAGAATTTGTGCAGTTTGGCTCATTGGGACGTATACACCGGGTAGAACCCACCGTTCCTTTGTTGGCTGGAAATACACGTGTTCCTTCAAGCGGGCTGCCTAACTACCGCATATCATGGCTGGTTGTGTTGTGTCCTGCTGCCTGGCCTGTTTTGTTTATATGACCCGCTGTGCTGGTTAGGATGCCATTCCCTATGTGCAAACAAACACACCTGTGAGCACCCTGGAAAAGATCCAGTGCGGGGAGCTGACTCCCTGCGGGTTCAAACAGACACTGGGAGGATGGGAGCGAAAGCCACCTCAGGGTGCGGTTCCACCCCACGGGGACGTGTGCCCTAATCCAGCCAGGGCATGAGCTTCATTTTGGGGGGCCAAGAAGGAGCCGTGGCCGGCTGCTGTGGCAGGGGGCGATGCTGCTGGCCTGTACTGCGTGTGCAGCGTTACTGTGTCAATAGCCACGGGCTGTCATCTTTCTGGCTCCAGTCCTGGCGCTGGAGCTGAGAAGTTTGCTATTGTGCTGGGCCTGGCCCTGTTGTGTTCAGTCCAGTGACGCTGAGGTGCAAGGGCAGAGCGAGCAAACCCAGCGAGACAAACAGTGAGCCGGGCCTGCTGATTTGTTTGTTCGGTGGCGAGGAGCTTTGCTGCTGCAGCTCCATGACTGTGCTTTGCCCTCCGGAGCAGCGACGTTACCTGGATCTTGAAACGCCTCCTTCCACAAGGTCATTTTAAACCCCAAAGCAGCACTCGGTCGGTGTAGCTTCACTTGAGCTGTCCAGAGGAGGGTAGCACACCTGCCGTGGCCCCGGCGTGCTGGCAAAGCCCTGCAGCTGGGCTGGGGAGAATTCCCGCGGTGCAGGCGTTGCACAGGGCGTCCGTGTGCCCGTCCCCTCACGAGCCCTGGTGCAAGAGAGGTGTGTGTTTGAGGGGTGGGTGTTTGTAGCTCCAAGTCCAGCAGGATTGCCGTACCTCGGATCAGCCCCCAGCCTCAGTAATGCTTGGGCATTTGCTTCAGCCCCTGGAGGCTTGGCAGGGCACGACGGGGGCTTACTGTCACATTTGCCCCGCTTCTCCCGGAGCTGCGAGTTGGCGTGGCACAGAATCTTACCCTATGTCTGTCTGGGAATTCGCACCCTCCAGCAGGGACTGATCTGAGGGCTGAGCTCGGTAGAATAGCAGTCAGAGCTGGATGGGGTTAGTCAAGTGACACGCAGGGCGAGGGGAAAGCACAGCCTAAAGCCATTAGGGGTCTGTTCAACAGACCGGCAATGCAGAAATGTCAAGCGGGGATAGGAACCTGGATCAGACCCATGTCCATTAGTCCAGAACCCAGCCTCTGAGAGGGCCAGCCCCGGAGGTGCACAGAACCCTGCAGTAGGCGCTCTGGGGAAAGGTTCCTCTCACCCTTTAAACATACTAGCTGGTGTGTTGTCCCTTGTCTGCTGAATACCCCATCATTTATTT